ACACAGAGAGAGAGAGAGAGAGAGAGAGAGAGAGAGAGAGAGAGAGAGAGAGAGAGAGAGAGAGAGAGAGAGATCTGCACTTGTAGAGCAACAAGCTACAGCTTCGGAGGCGTGACGATGCAACGACCTTCTCACTGCCAGGAAGCCTCTACTGCTGAATCCACTGATGAAACCAGCTTCCCACTGATGGAACGAGCTTCCCACCGATGACCACTGATGAAACAAGCTTCCCATGGGATACGCTGATGCAACGAGCTTCCCACTGCCCTTCGACTCCCCACGATGCTTTCTAGAATATTGGCAAGTAAAAGAAGAAGGGGAAAAAAAAAAAAAGCGAGCGTCATGGTGAATCCCGTCATCTCCATGCACCCCTCTACTCCCTCCACACGTCAACATCTGATGTGCCGACAGTGCCGTGCCATTTTCGAATCCATCCCTGCAGCATGCTGCCTGACACCAACACCTCCACTATGTTGTCTGCTCGTTCATCCCCGCAGCAGCCAATCCTTCAGCTTCATCCCTCCAGCACGAGCCATGCCAAGGGGTTGTCTTGCTCGTAGAGCTGACGGTAGGGAAAAAAAAAGAAAAAAAGAAAAAATTATCTTGCATCCACGGTCTGGACAGAGACACATACTCTGCCAGGACACAATCTGCACATGCCAAGGAAAGCAGAGCGATGGCTTATCTGTTTCATCACGCTCGACATGAATAAGTTCCCAAACGCGATGTACATTCCCTATATACCAGTCCGGATACATCTGCATTTCCTGTGAAAGATGAGTGAAGAGCACGGACAATGAGAATTCTCATGACCGCCACCCATCTTGCAAGGCGTGTATACAGTACTTGGAAATGCGGACGTATGGGGACGATGAGAGGAGGAATATACATGAATATCAGGCCAAAAACGTGCGCGGCGTCCGCAAATTGTGGAACTCAGTCGGCCCACTTGCATGGATTCTTCCCCCAGGAAATAGAGAATCGTTTTTCCTTGTCTGTAACGTTTTTTTCTCGGGGTGAGGCTCGCAGCCTTCAGGCGGGGAACGCCATCGACTACAGGGCATACTCACACAAGGCCCTCAAGTCAAAGAATAGCAGATTCGTCCAGCGGCCTACCGTCGTCCCCCGAACACAACGCACCCCCATTTTGAGTGCATCGGACCGGAAACCTAACCTATACATTCATAATGAGGGTGCCTTGTGTTCAGGGGAAGACAGTAGCTCAGTTGGTAAGGCATGCAAGTGGCATTGAGGAGGTCTTCGGTTCAATCCACATTGGACTCACGTACCTTCCAAGGCAAGCTTGGCGCCCGTGACCAAGGCAGTTGGTCCCCTCGAGCGGCATTGAGCAGAGACTGCTGATGTTGGTAGGAGGAGGGGACTGGAGGGGAGGCATCGGTCCTGATGCTACCAGTTGACTCCCGCTCCCCTCGTTAGACTTGAGCACAGATGTATGGGGTTCCCCATTGCAGCGGGCCTTCATCTGCCCTGGCCCACAACGAGGGCCTATTTGGCTATTTGCCAGTCCGGCCTGTGGGACCAGGCCGTGGCCTGACCCCACAGGCCGTGCGGTTATTCAGTCCAGTCCAGTCCTGTCCGGTACCA